TACCACCTTCGACATTAATTGGAATAGTGAAAAATGTGATGAAACTGATATAAAAAGCTCCTCTACTCCGATCGCTAATCGCATAATCTCTCTCCTCTCTCCTTGACAATATTCGATAGACTGTGGATGCTATGCTGTTAGTTAAGTGCACATACCACATCACATATTTATGCACAGCGTCTGTAAAATTGGTAAGTAAAATCCGGCAAGGCAAATAAACACCATTTTTAATTCAAGCAAGAAACCAAAGCTTTCCAATCTAAATATCGTAGAATATTGTAGTCTAATTATTGCAATATGTTGACAAATGACATGACATAACCCTTACAGGTCCGGGAAAAGAAATGACCTGTGGTGTTCCCTGCCTGTCGTAAAAAGCGACTAAAATGGAACCGGCGAATGACTCCCGGGATAAGGAATCAACTCCAATCAAATGCCAACCGTTTTATGGCGGAAGAGCTGTTGGGCAGTTGGAAGGACACCATTTTCTCCTTGTAGAGAGAAATCTGTCCAAAAGGCGGAATGAACAACTAAAGTCAATGGCATAGGATGCAGAAGACAATGGGAAACCACTGCATTAAAGACATGTTGATATTATCCAGCTTTCTATACGTCATGGTTGCCAAACCCAAGGTTTAAAGGCAAGTTTTGTGACTAAACATCTTTAACCCTTGGTTTATTTGGGAAAAAGTATTTTGGTCCCTCTACCACGAACCATGCACTTTCATTCTAGTAATTATTTTTGAGCTATAGAAGCAAATCTGTATTTTTTTAATATCCTAATTATTGTCTATTAAACAGGTTGTTTCTAGTGTTAAGCATGAAAAATGATTCGGATAAGAATTTAACTGCAGTTTTGGGGAGTCAAAAAAGCAATTTCCGTTAAATTTATATCAAACGATGAGTGCTATTTGATAATTATTTTCCACATTTCCAGTTTTAAAAATAAAACAATTTAGTTATAGTATAATGCATCATTAGTAAAATAGTTTTTGTACATTTAATTTTTAATTATTCAGTCATATTTACCCGCATATTGGCAGTGGTTGAATACATAATTAGGTAACTTTAATACTTAATTTTAACGCAAATGTGCTACAAATTCAATAATTAGCTTCTATACTAAAGGGCTAAAGCTGAATGACACTTCACGGAAAGGATAGCACCACCACATAATATCGTAGTGTATTTGGAAACGTTTTTTCACGTATAATCCACCTAAGATATCTTGAAAAGGAATCACTATGAAGTACATGAAATACGCACACAATTATCAAATGGAACGCATGCCTACTTATCCATCCTTGTTAAGATGATTGTTATATGAACTATTTCAAAGTTATTAACTTCAGCGCGATAGACTTACAAATAGCTCAGTCATCTTTTCATCAACTGAATAGCAACTAATTAGGAATTATTTCTCCTCCTTAGCACACACTTGTGCAGAAACTGACAAACTCATTCTTATTGTTACCCTCGGTAAATGGGTCAACCATAATTAATAAGGTTGGCGTTGAACTGCTGACCATAATACAACGTTTTAAATTCAATTCAAATTAAATTGGATAAAGAAAAAACCCTGGAAAAATCATTACAATGTGTAAAGTTTTAAAAAGCTGGTCTGTAGTCAATCCGCCAAGCCATAAGTATGTCAAAAGCCATCCAAATGTTTTTAGAAATGCTGCATTTTTTGGTCTTTGTTTTTCACCCCAACTCCATTTTTGTTTTTTTTTCGCAGGAGGGGCTACGATGCTCTAAAAATTCGAAACGAAACAACGCTACCAAGACGCGACTTTCAGGAATCTTCTTACAGTCTTAATGTTGTGCGGAGTCGGTAATACTTTGTCTGGATTTGTTTGCAGACCTCCATCACTAACAACCTGACCCAACCTTAGTATATTACTCAGTCTCTTTTCATCTCATTCTCATTTAGTTACTCCTGTGTGCACTTATTACTATTTTCCTTTTTATTATATTACTCAGTTATAAGCATTACTTGATTATGTTAATTTTAATTGTATTCAGGAAGTCGGTGGAAGATCAGAACTTGCCTGTGCAGCAACTGAACCGATAATCCCTGTCGTTTCCATTTCTTTAATTTGGTGGAAATAAACACATTATTATTATTATTATTAAATTATTATTATTAAAAATTTGAAGGACGGGTGGAAAAATTGGCACTTTTTGGGGTTGAACTTCAAAGTGGACCAACAGAGGCGGCGGAAACCTTCTTCCAAATGTTGTAGGTGCTCGGCGAAAGCTCTCATCCACAAAATTATATCGTGCAAGTAGGCGAACGCTCGAGGCTACATTTCTGGCCCAATAACTCGGTCCAAAAGACGTTGAAACGTGACTGGTCCAAAAGGAAGCCCAAAGGACAGCTTTCGGACAATGACAATGGGCGCACTCCACGGACTTTCAGCCAGCATTCGCTCTACTTCTTCGTTGACTGTAGCTTGCATTCGGGAATTTAACGGGTACGGCGACCATATTAAGCGAAACTCTGGCAGTACATACCTACGTTATATGGTGGAGCCAATAAAACTTTTGGTCACCTGACGTACGACCATGCTCGTGCCATGTACGTAGCTCGGTAATATAACGAACAGCGGATTCACGCCTCAAGGTTAATATTCGGAAATAACAATTCTGGAAGTCGGTACTAAAATCTAACCAATTGTGCCAACAGACACGGTTGCTGGTTATTTATCTTTTGCAAAACTTATAAAAAAACGTGTACAATTAGCTTGTTTTCCTCCAACCTCGATTATCAGGTTCAACGTTCAAGTATGCCTTAGTAATCAACTGGGCCCAGAAGAACGGAGTTGGGAGCTGATTGATAATGTATTGGAACCAATCCACACACTACTTCCACCTGCATCAGAGAAGCTCCTTAATACTATTTTTTTGCAACTTCAAAAAGGGATGTAATTCGAAATGCGGAAGCATGTCAAGGCCAGTTGTGCTCAAATTTTTAGTCTCCAACAGAAGACGAAACAGCTGATGTATCCCTGTTTGAGCAATTTACGTCAACTCAGAAAGAAGAAGAAGACTTTTTATTCTACTAGGATCAAATAATATAGCCCGTGGAGTGGCCTACTGGGGAGACCACGTTAAAAACCCGTCAATTACACTACAGGTGGCTTGGAAACGTGTGCATAGTACAGAAAATACAACTTTAGTACATCTTCAACTTCTGGGAAATTTAAGCAAGGGTATCCCTATTTTCGGGCTAACTTGACCATATTTTGTAAAAAAAAAACAGATTTAGTCCAATCGCTAGGTATAAAATTAATTGTCTTTTGGGTGATATATAAAATGGAGGTTTATTAAAACAAATGGGAAGTGTAACTCCCGTATGCTCACAAATTTTAAATCACAACGTTCTTCTTTTTGAAACTATTCAATTTTTATCCTTTCTAAGGAGGAACCAGGGCTAACGATCCCTCACCTGAGAAAACCCGGAAAGACGTTCTATATAAACTCTAACATAGTATTAAATGCTGTATGTTAAGTAAAAGAGTCCTAAAAAATTTTCAAAAGAGCTAAGCTGCCCTTGTATAAGTCCTCAAGTAGCTTTAAAAAAGATTAGCCATATAGTAAGCGTAATTTTTCTCATTTCTGCAAGCTCTTCACGAATATTCATTTTTTTTAGACAAGTCGATTCTCTATGAATTTTATTCAAACCCTTCTTTGAGAAATAAACACGAAATTTAAAACGGAGAGGGAGCCGGAACGCGCCTGGTTTGTTTGCAATAACGTAAATTAGTTAAACTCGTTCTGGTAAATTTAAAGGCCAGTATCATGAGGTCGTGTCAGCCCGAGTTGAATTTCAATTTATTTTAAAACAATTATCTTTTCAAATCGATTTTTCGCAGGTCATCAACTCATAACAATTGAATTAGTGCATTATACTCGGGATTGTAAACGTTTCCGAGCGAATTTTATAGAATTGTCAATTTTAATGCGGACCTTTTCGCCATTCAAATCACTACATTTATAAGCGCGACGAGAGCTGATTTTTTTTTTATTTATAATGGAAAAATTCTTGTAATGCGGTTTTCCAAGACGTATAACCTAAAACTCCTTTCTTGTTGTGAATAAAGAACACAACTTTAATATTATGTCTCGGCGGCAGTAAAAAATTTTATGCTGTAGATTTTCTGAAATATTTATGTTAAAAAGACTTCGTGTTGGTAGTGTTACTACGAAAAATTGTTGTTACCACGCCGATCTCTATGCAAAATCATATTTGTTGTACTATAACGACATCAAAGCTGCGCGTCAATATAAAAAGAGGATCCGCCGGAAATACAATCTAAATTTTTCCTCTATGACCTTAAATATTATGTTGCATAGGGTATTTTTGGTTTTATTAGGTTATTGCCACTTTGGAGACAGTTGAAAAGTTAGGTAAAAAGACGAATCGGTTTTAAATATATTCCAGGCACGGTCTAAACTTCCTTTCTTTTGTATTAGCACTGAGTTTTTCTCGTTAAACCATAATTAAAATAAATTTACAGCGTTGAAAGTACGTGGACCACAGTAGGAAAAGTTTTGTGAGTAAACTGCAAAGCACTTTCTTTAATAATACCTACCTAAACCAAAGTTTTAAATGGTTTTTCTGAATGGTGGCGATTGCGAATGATGATAAGCCTAAGAATTAAGCAATTTGTTGAACTTCAGCTTTTTAAAATTCGCATTACGTTTTGTTTTCAATCGTTTTATACGAATGACAATGAAATTAATTTTACTGATTGAAAAGTTTTCCCTATTTTCAAATTATTCTCTACTGAACTCGCGCACTCTTTCTCTATTATCATGCAAATTGTTTGTTATCATTTAAATTGTCTTTTGTTCAAATTAAAAAAGAGGTTCAATTTGTTTTAAGTGGAGCAACTGAAATCATCTAACCCAACAGGTATTTTTATTAACGGTTGATACTGTAATCTTATCGTATAAGTAAATATTATAGATAAAATGCTTTCGTGCCTGTTCATCATTAGTATTGTCGCGGATTTTGTGTACCAAATTTGCGTCGCGCGTTTTTTAAGTGTTAAGTATCTCCAAATATGGCTGGAAAAGGTGAAGGCGCTGGAGAAGGAACACTTCTCAAATTGGAAAATCAAATAATGGTTATTAAGTACACTCTGCTATTCACTAACGTCATTTTGTGGGTATGTAATTACACTTACGTTGATGATTGATTGTTTTAATGATCTGATAACCGCCTGCGGCTATTATAACTGCAAGTGGCACGTTTCGCTTGGCACAAGAAGCATATTTTAAGTAAACATAATGGCTCATATGAACGATTTTGCGTTTGAAAGGCTACCACGATATTTTTCCTTGAAACGAAATGAATCACTGATAAGGAGCGTGACTATAGGCATTAACACTCATGTTGATTTCCTAATCGCACCCTTTCAATCCGATTTGTTAGAAAGTTACGAATTACCCTTTACCTTGTGTAACGTTTGATGCTTTAGTAATGAAAATTAAGTAGGTAAGTACTAGCGGTATCGACCTTTCGATGATATGGGTTGGGCGCCTTTGAATAATTTTCAACTTAAATCTCTTGCCGAAAATTAATTGATCACCCTAAAAGTTGGTGACAGCGCTAGAGATGACAATTTTATCTTTATTCCCGAATGGAAGCTCCTCATTAATTGCGGACCACCGCATTTTGAAACTTCTTCATACTGAGTAGAATGTGATGGATTTACGGGCATAAAAACAGTGGAAAGTTGCACGTTTCCGTACCGAATTCTCATGCAGTAACATTATTGTAGAAGTAAAGTTAACTAGGAATTACTGCAGTAGATATACGTTCCTAACCAAACATTTTTAACTGGCATGAAAGTGACAAATCCTACTGCGTGTGTCATTATCTTTTATCCCAGGATCAAAGCTGCGTTGGGGTTGCAACGTGGCGCCATAATCCTAAGGTTCATAGAAAAGTTTACTGTTATACTTTTTTTATTTATGCATAGGGTAACACACAGGAAAATCTCATAATTACATGTATCCACTAAACAAAGCATCAGAAATAAATTGAAAATATGGTAGTCAGAAAGAACATATAATATTTGATGAAGTATGAATAATGAAATGAGGTAATGACAGTAAGCTAGCACATTTGTTTAGCTAGTTTTTCTTGAAAGGGTTGGTACTAAATAGAGACATATGTATTTAATATTTTACTATTATTGATCACAAAAGTTCCTAATAGTGATTTAAATTAATAACAAATATCAATAATTTAATGTACCTTTTTTGTATACGTACGTCAAATGTGACATTTCGCTGATTGTATTCAAACAGCGAAGTATCGTTTCGTTGCTAGGGACAGAGAAGCGGAAAACAGGCAGAGAAATTTTACCGGACGCGTCAAAAAATTTGTCAAGGGGGACATCTTTTTAACCAAAAACTACTTCACTCCCTTTCACCCTCTGGGTGATGTAGTTTTTTGTTAAAAAGTTGTCCCTCTTGACAAATCTTTTGGCGTGTCACGAGGTTTTTTCCTTTAATCAGTGGTTTTCTATAAATCCGTGGCGGGAAATTTTCAAATGAACACCCTGTATTGTTTTCCTATCAGTGAAAACCAAAAGGTTCAATAAATTTCTAGCTGGAGTGTATGAGTTAAGTCCTATGGAGACCTTGTATTTTATAAATTGTATATAATATATTTCATGAACACACTGTTATTGCATGTGTCAAATAGCAATCGTAGGTCTTTCGTCTTTGTCTCTTTGTCTATGCGTATTTGCGCAACAGAGAGCTTTGTAGAAACCGTAAGAATGTGATTGTTGAGGCTTAGGTCAGAAAAAAATCTACCGCCAAGATATTTTATTGCATTCCTCTTTTTAACATTAGAAATGTTTATGTTCTCGTTGCGTTACGAGTTTCGTTCAATGCGTAGTTACGTTTGTTTTGTTAATTTCAATCCAAAATTCTCCTTTGATAATATTACGAGCATGTAACAGCGCTTATTATTAAGTAGGGTGACGTTCCCAGTGAATAATAGCTATTTGTATAACAAGGGAGGAAAGTTAAAGATTCCCTCCCGCGTGTGAAGTTTAATGCCCGACGCGAAGCGGAGGGCAGTAATCACACAAGGGAGGGATATGTACTTTCCTCCAGAGTTATACATATGATTTTTTCTACTACCTCAACTTTAATTTAGCAAAGATTTCTACGGTAAGATGACCGCTTGCCATCTAGTTACACTAAAAAATTTAGGATGTATCCATGGTGAAGTTATGTTGCCATGGTAGCGGTATAAACAGTAGCTTGTGTACTGGTCGTTTCTGTAATTTTTCATCAGGAAATATGGAAATAGAAAGTGATTTAGAGGAAAATATTCCCTCAGACATTTTAGAAGAAGCTAATCAGGCATCGCTTGATCTACTGCCTGCAAAATCTAGGGACAGATACGAAAAAGAATATACTGCTTTCAAAAATTGGATGATGGGGAGAAAAGTCAAGAAAATTGCTGAAGAGGTAATCTTAGCATATTTTGCGCATCATTCTAAAACCATCGACGATGTGGAGTAAATATTCAATGTTACGTACCACATTACTTATAAACGACAACGTTGACATTAAGTATGCAAAAGTCATAGCTTTGCTTATACGTCAAGGAAATGGGTATAAACCAAAGAAAGCTAAAATTTTCTGTAGGAATGACCTAAACAGATTACTTTCGGAGGCGCCCGATGACTATTACTTGCAAATGAAGGTAATTATGAGATGATTTGAATTTGATACATTATGAACGCTATATTTTGTTCGTAGGTTGCTTTAATTATTGGACTTGCCGGAGCTTGCCGTTGCGATGAGCTAATTAAATTGACATTGCATGATATTCAGGATAATGGAGACATATTAGTTGTGAAAATACCCGATAGCAAAACAAAAATGCAAATAACATTTGTAATCACTAACGAAACCATTAATGGAACAAGTGTACATGGAATTTATAGAAAATATGTTTCATTACGCTCTGCTAAAACTGAACATACAAGATTTTTTGTTAATTACATAAAAGGGAAGTGCACCATCCAAGTCATAGGGAAAAATACAATTGCCAAAATACCATATAAAATTGCAAAGTACCTCGAGCTACCAGATGCAGAAGGTTACACTGGGCATAGTTTTCGGCGCACCTCCGCGTCTTTGTTGGTTGATGCTGGAGGAGATTTATTGAGTTTAAAGAGACACGGAGGATGGCGCTCTACCAACGTAGCCGAGGGCTATTTAGGAGAATCAATCGTAAAAAAAAGTAAAGTTTCTAACCAAATTACATGCGGAATGCTCTCCTCAAAAGTTTCTGGAGAACATCAAATGAACTCTACAAACATTGACAAGTACAGGTTTCAACGTTAATCAATCTTCCTCACCTTTTTCTGGTAACATTACTTTCAACAATGTTAGTAATTGCACCTTTAACTTCGGTTCTTCTACTAGCACTGAGAATAACAAGTACATATAAATAAAGTTAGTTGTAATTGAAGGGTATTTTGTTTAGTTATAAGCTTAGGTACGTTATATGGAGTTGAGGGAGGAAAAACATTTTTCCTCCCTTAGGGAGGAAAAGTGCAGCTTTCGACCCTAAAAACGGGGCGAGAAATGATATTTTCTAAAGAGGTAGTAGGAAAAAGTTTTTACTTATGGCTTACTAGTTGATATTCAAATAAAAAATTTATAGCAATTACTTTCTGTAATAACACGAGGTTGTAAATTAAGTAATGAGACTGATCCTGTCGACCCTGACGTGCCAAAGGGCGGTAACCGGTAATCTGAAGATAATTCCAAATAATTATTATAAGTAATTATAAATAAATGAACATTTTTAAAGCACCAATCCTCATTACTTATCAACAACAAACAAATAAACCTGGCACATCATAGTATCAAATGCTCCCGCAACATCTAATACTAATATTATGAACCTGTATAGGTAGTTAGGATGTAACGGCTTGGTTGCATTTACAGGGGTTAAAAACCCCTCTTGTAAAACATAAATTTTATTCTCTACGGCACTGGTAAAAATTTTACGGAAACAATTAATTTTTTGAAATGAAATAATTAATACCATAGCTAGCTCAGTAATGAATTCAATGAGTTTTTATCTCCACTTTAATCTGAAAACCATATCATGATGTTCTTTAAAAGACTGATCTACTTCATGTAATTAATATTGAACCCCCTGTCTCGTGGTAACGTTTCCAATCTAATTAATTATCTAGATCTTTACATTCGTAGTTAATTCCACACCTGGTTCAAAGTTCCTATTCAAAACATAAATTTACGCACATCTGGTTGCTGAATAAAAATTTAACCCACACAACAGAATGGTATTAATAAACTTAAGAATCCTTTCACAATTAATGGAAAACCCCTTATCATTCATAAAAAAATACACAAATTTGTTCACGGGATAAAGTCCGGCAAGTCGACCTCTTCAGGAATGTTATTTATGGTAATAGTTACCAATGTTCCACAGTATGGAAAAATACAAAAATTAACCTTATAACTTAGGGTTTGCAACAACCGCAAGCACAAATTAATTGCCTTTAACTTTTTTGCCGGTTGCCGTTTTATGTTATAATTTTTTAGCACCTCTTTGAAACAAAAGTGCACAACTTTGATTAATAAACTGATTTTCCAACGCAACTAGGCACTCCAAAAAATAGCGCAACGAAATGTTTGCCCCTTGGACTCCAACGCTTTCGTGGCAACCATTTATTTAAATACAATTCTTTTATATATCGAAATTTGAATTAACCATGAAATTTTACATCTCTGAAATGGCTTACACAACACAATATTCGCCTTGAAAGCTTGGCGATTTCGTTTTACGCGATCTATAAATCTCCGCGCTCACAGTACGTATGTCTGCCTAGAAAAATGTGGTTAAAAATTGAATAAGCGATCGGAAAAAAACAGCACTCGACCTGCATAGATTCTCTTCGAAGGTTTGTGTAAGAATACCGCTCTCCCACCAGATTTTTACCCGCCGAATAAAAATACGAAAAGGACCCACCGGAAACCAAGCGTTCACTCTGTTTTATACATGCGAAGGTATAGCAGAAAATACTCCTCTCAACCTCCGTGGCGACGGGTTTTAGAACCAGCAACAATGTAACGCTTCGACTTGTGTTTTATTTTCTCG